ACTGTCCACTAACACCCGTCACTATCCACTAAACCCGTCACTGTCCACTAACACCCGTCACTGTCCACTAACACCCGTCACTATCCACTCAAATCCGTCACTGTCCACTAACACCCGTCACCGTCCACTAACACCGTCACTGTCAACACCCGTCACTGTCCACTCAACACCCGTCACTATCCACTAACACCCGTCACTGTCCACTAACACCCGTCACTGTCCACTAACACTGTCACTGTCAACACCCGTCACTGTCCACTCACCCGTCACTGTCCACTCAACACCCGTCACTATCCACCAACACCGTCACTGTCCACTCAACACCCGTCACCGTCCACTAACACCGTCACACTGTCCACTAACACCGTCACGTCCACCAACACCCGTCACCATCCACTAACACCGGTCACTGTCCACCAACACCCGTCACTGTCCACTAACACCCGTCACTATCACTTACGTCACTGTCCACTAACACCCGTCACTATCCACTAACACCGGTCACTATCCACTAACACCCGTCACTGTCCACACCACCCGTCACTTGTTCACTAACACCGGTCACTGTCCACTAACACCGTCACTGTCCACTAACACCGGTCACTGTCCACTAACACCCGTCACTATCCACCACCCGTCCACTCAACACCGGTCACTGTCCACTACGGTCACCCACCATCATCCACTAACACCGGTCACTGCCCACTCAACACCGGTCACTGTCCACTAACACCCGTCACTGTCCACCACCCGTCACTGTCCACCACCGTCACGTCCACTAACGTCACTATCCACTACACCCGTCACTGTCCACTCACCCGTCACTGTCCACCAACACCCGTCACTATCCACTAACACCCGTCACTGCCCACTAACACCCGTCACTGTCCACTAACACCCGTCACTGTCCACCAACACCGGTCACTGTCCACTCACCCGTCACCGTCCACCAACACCGGTCACTATCCACTAACCACCGGTCACTGCCCACCACCGGTCACTATCCACTAACACCCGCTCACTGCCCACTCAACACCGTCACTGTCCACCACCCGTCACTGTCCACTCAACACCCGTCACTGTCCACTAACACCCGTCACTGTCCACTAACACCGGTCACTGTCCACTAACACCCGTCACTATCCACTAACACCCGTCACTGTCCACTAACACCCGTCACTATCCACTAACACCCGTCACTGCCCACTAACACCGTCACTGTCCACTAACACCCGTCACTGTCCACCAACACCGGTCACTGTCCACTACCCGTCACTGTCCACTAACACCGGTCACTATCCACTAACACCCGTCACTGTCCACTAACACCCGTCACTATCCACTAACACCCGTCACTGCCCACCACCCGTCACCGTCCACTAACACCCGTCACTGTCCACTAACACCGTCACTGTCCACTAACCCGTCACTGTCCACTAACACCGTCACTATCCACCAACACCCGTCACTGTCCACTAACACCCGTCACTGTCCACTAACACCCGTCACTATCCACTAACACCCGTCACTATCCACCAACACCCGTCACTGTCCACTAACACCGTCACTGTCCACTAACACCGGTCACTGTCCACTAACACCCGTCACTGTCCACAACACCCGTCACTATCCACCAACACCGGTCACTGTCCACTAACACCCGTCACTGTCCACTAACACCGGTCACTGTCCACAGGGTGCCCTTCATTTGTCTTTTGGGCTGGTTGGCTTCGTAGCAGAACCATCACCAGTGTTGAATCCATCATCGACTTCTTCATGAACGGCCAGCAGCAGCCTTCCTACGAGTGTTAAATATGTGACTCCACTCTATGCCATTTGAGTCAGATGTATGGCCCTTTGAGTCAGATATATGGCCCATTGAGTAAAATCTATGGCACCTGACTCAAATTTATGGTCCCCCCTGACTCAAATCTATGGCCCCCTGACTCAAATCTCTGGCCCTCTGACTCAATTATGTGGCTCCCTGACTCAAATCTATGGCTACTTGGCTCAAATCTATGGCCCCCTTGGCTCAAATCTATAGCTCCCTGACTCAAATCCTTGTCATATAACTGTCATGTAACTGTCATATAACTGTCATGCATTTCCTTCTATACTATCAACACAAAAGCTTAAGGGTTATTGGTTTCACTTAGTGTGTGTGTGTGTGTGTGTGTGTGTATGTGTGTGTGTGTGTGTGTGTCTAACTTGGTAGAAAAATTGATGAGTGTGGTATGTTAGGGAAGAGATGAGGTCAAGGTCAAATATTAAGTCAAGTGGCTGTTGGTGTGGTGACCTTAACACTTGACGTGGTAGTTGGTTGTTGTTGTTGTTGGTTGTATTAAGTTGTTGGTTATTTAGATACAAAACTGTTATTATTATTATTATTATTATTATTATTACTAGACTATTACTATTATTATTATTGTTGTTGATATGGTTCTTGTTGTTATTGTTATTATTATTGTCTCTTAATTAAACATAGGCTCTAATAATTGTGGTTCTGTGATTTTCGATAATTTCAGAAAAAAAATAAAATGTCGATTAATAAAAATATATAATTATATTTTTTAAATTATTGTTTGTCTGAGAACCTTAAATAAAACTACACACACACACACACACACACACACACACACACAGAAGGGAATGGTAGAGGACGGTGATTATTTCCAGACAGGTTGTTATAGCGTTAGGTTAGGTTAGGTGTTAATGTTACCTTTATACTCTGGCCGCTGGGAAGTGGTTATCAAAACGTATTTATGTGTCCCATAATAAACAATAATACAGCCACAATGTAAACAGAAAACAATATGTCAATAGCGTCGTATTAAACACTAAAGATATAAACAGTAAACAGTGTCACTAGCACTATAATAAACAAAGGTAAACAATATGAACAACCTGGTGACTCCTAATTACCATCAACAATGCAGTATTAATATTGCGTTGTAAAAATATCTCCCGGGTATGACTACGAAATATCTCCTGAGTTCACTTACTTACCCACAGATATATGGTGATAATTAAGACTCAGGAGGTAGACCATTCTATAGATCTACCACCGTGTGTGTGTGTGTGTGTGTGTGTGTGTGGTGGGTGGGTGTGTGTGTGGGTGTGTGTGTGTGTGGGTGTGTGTGTGTGTGGGTAGGTGTGTGTGTGTGTGTGGGGTAGGTGTGTGTGGGTGTGTGGAATCAAAACATAACTGGGCTTTAAAATTATCAAGAACAATGAAAGGATCTTACTGTATTATAATATGGACGTGGGTATACCTAAGTTACCGCTAAACTGACACTTTTGAATAGCGTTTTCTTTAACATTAACACCAGAGAAAACGAATATGACTAACTATATCATTTCCTATTATCAACTCTAGAAAACACCCTGAACACACCCTCTCCACCCTCACTTACACCCTGGACACCCTCTTACACCCTCATACACTCTGAACACACCCTCTTACATCCTGAACACACCCTCATACACCCTGAACACACCCTCTTACACCCCAGTACACCCTGAACACCCTCTTACATCCTGAACACACCCTCATACACCCTGAACACACCCTCTTACACCCTGAACACACCCCAGTACACCCTCTTACACCTTGACACACCCTCTTACACCCTGACACACCCTCTTACACCCTGAACACACCCTCTTACACCCTGAACACACCTCATACACCCTAGACACACCCTCTTACACCCTCTTACACCCTGAACACACCCTCATACACCCTGAACACACTCTCTTACACTCTCAACACCCTCTTACACCCTCAACACACTCTCTTACACTCTCAACACACCCTCTTACACCCTGAACACACCCTCATATACCCTGAACACACTCTCTTACACTCTCAACACACCCTCTTACACCCTCAACACACCCCAGTACACCTCTTACACCCTCATCCTCCGGCGGTCGTGATTCTAGATAACTGTGTCCTGGACCCACTTTCCAGCCGCCACCCAGGCCACGCCCAGACACCGCACCCAGGCCACGCCCTCACCGCCATCACCGGCCACGCCCAGCCGCCATCACCCAAGCCACGCCCACCACAATGCCACATGTCGGCGGGGGCGGTGTCATCGCTTCCGGTATTTCTGTGTTTGTGTCTCCAGTCGTAAAAGCGGCGTAGGAGGAAAGTTCCGCTATTATCAAATGACCATCGTCTTCCAATAGTTTACGTCTGTGTGTCTGTGAATGATTTATATTTTGTTAATCTTTGTTATTTTATTTATTTTATTTTATTTTTCTATTGGGAAGTTTGTTAAAGTATAAAGTCTCATATGGCAACAGTTTACCAGGAAGAAAGCCCCGCCTATAGGCTCCTCCTTCCTGATTGGTCCAAGGTGACGTCACGCTTTATTGACTTGAAGTCTTTTGACAAATTAACTCCCTTATTGGTTTCTCTTCTATGTATATAAACAAAGATAATCTTCAACTATCTTAAATAGACCCATAGAAAAAAATTAGTCGACTATTTCAAGGCGGATTTAACCCAAGATGAGGAGGTTTGGCGAGGGGTGGGCGTGGCTAGAGGTGCGCGGGTCCCGGTGTGTCAGCCAGGCGCCAGTCATCACCCAGCGCCCGCCCGCCCTACCACCTCCTACCACACACCAAACCCCTCTCAGTTTTCCATTATCTCCCCGTGATACACAACCTCGGTGCTTCTAACCATCTCAATATGATTCCAATACCTCAAAATCAACCGCAGGAGGGATAAAATAACCCCCAAAAGCTAAAAATCGGCGCCAAACAAATACCGTCCCCGGATCCCTATGAAATTAGTGAAGTGAGACGTAAAAAATCCCTATTGTGACATACTGAGACATCAAACGGTGAGAAAAAAAACAAAGGAACGAAGGAGGTGAGAGACACCAGGGAGTGTTTGGAGGCATCAGTAACAGGCGTTGAAGGTGCGGGAAGATGACTTATAGGAGGAGAAGTTTATACAGGTCGTGTTCGAGGGGACGAACTGTTTGAAATCTCCACCGGGTCGAGAACCACCTGACGAAGGACGCGCCATGAAGGAGTACCAGGAGGTGAGTAGAGAGAGAGAGAGAGAGAGAAAAGAGTAGAGAGGAGACTGAGAGATATAGAGAGAATCGACTGTGAGAGAGAGAGAGAGAGAGAGACGGGGTGGGAGAGAAATAGAAAGAATGTTAAAAAGTGAGAGAGAGAAAAGACTGGGTTACAGAGATTGAAAGAGGAAGGAAAGAGAAAAGACGAAAATGAAAAAAAGAGGGAGAGAGAGAGAATATAAAAAAACAGAAAGATAAAAACAAAAGAGATAGATAGATAATTATACAAACACAAGAAATATTTCCAGATCTCCCCTCAAAAAAATTCTCCTAAATACACAACTGACTGACTCACTCACTTAGAGATACGACACAAAGATATTCTCAAGAGTTTATCAGGTATAATTATGGTCTTAAGTGACTACGACAATACTCAATACACTAAAAAAAACATTAATTAATTCTGTTCTTTTAATTAATTAACTAAATCTACTCCACGCCCTCCCCACCAAAAACAATCTGGTGTCTCTTGGTTAGTTAGGTTTAGTTGGGATGCATCGTCTTGGAGGAAAAAAATAAGGTAATTCGTTCGTGTTACTTGCCAACATGATACGGTAATAATAATGTTGGAAAATAAATACCACAACAAAAATAATAAACAACATCGCAGATTAAAAAAAATCCGTATTCTTCTAAAAATAATAATATACGTAAATTTAAAAACATAAAATAAACAAAATTTGAAGAAAAAACTGAATCGCAGACCTCTATATTACCCAACTATAGATAGATAGCTATATTACGTAGATATGGAATAATAACAGTAAATAGAAGATGCTAAATAAATAACAGTAAATTAATAAATGGCAATACTAAAATTCCTTACAAAATATGAACAAATACCTAAATTACCCATAAAATGGAATTAAAAATTACCTCCAAAACACGAACAGATTCTAAAATCAATATAAATACGAATAGGAGTTTTAAAAATTAAATAATCGGAGAGGAACGAAACCGGAACAAAATTGAAAAGAAAATAACATGAAAGATTGATTATGTGTTTACTTAAACTATCTGACGAAAATGAAAAGGGATTACGAACCTAAATAGCAAACACGAGCCTAAACACAAATAATATTAATAATAATAATACGAAAATTAAGCATTCACATAGGCCTACTACTACTACTACCACCAGTATTGCTGAAAATTAAACAAATAATAACAGCAAAAATAAATTAATTGCTTTGTATATTTAAGCGATTCTATGAAATATACAATAAATAAATAAAAAATAATATGAACAAATCAACAGTTTTAATCTGGTATACACACACACACACACACATACATACAGTATACTCAGTGCATCTCGTCCAAGGATAAACAGATAGTATACTGGCTTCCTCACCTAATGTTCCCTCGTCCGCACCCCCAGGCACCTTCAGTCGATCCACCTGTGAACGGGTACCTGACTTTAGTTAAGGTGGTGAAGGTAGAGTGTTTGTGTGTGCGTTTCGGTGTGTGTGTGTATGTTTCAGTATGTATGTTTAGTATGTGTATGTGTATGTTTCAGTATGTATGAGTGTATGTTTCAGTATGTGTGTGTATGTTTCAGTAGGTGTATTTGTGTGTATGATTCAGTATATGTAGATGTGTATGTTTCAGTATGTGTGTGTTCCAATCATTCCATTTGTGTTATCTTTCTGTGTTGACAATTTTCTTGTTTATATATGTCTGTCGGTTTTAATTAGCCCCATCTGCACCAGAAGTACTATACAAACAATAACAAACACCTCTTATCATTTCCTCCTACACCTAACCTAACCTACACGCAAATAACATAAGCTAAAACAAACGCCTTAATGACAAGTTATTCAAATCAGCGGAATTTTCGAATTTAGATGTAAATGTATCCGTTTACATCACTGACTAACTCATCCATAATCCGTATTGACCCGAGAACGTCAGCTCAAGAGGCCACATATACTGTTCCTCACTCCGATATGATCACTGCGTCTCTAGTTATGTCTTCTAATCGCCATTTATCTCTATTTGTAATTGAAGTTACCAATACGTTCTACAAGCAAATAATTGGTTTTAGCTTCCGTGGCAGTAAGGTCGAAAATCCACCGACCTCGTTATGTTTAAGATATACGGTACGACAGTTTCAGCGCCGATAATGATGGCTCCCTGCCAGGCGAGCGACAATAAGTAATAAATATTTTCACTTGTTTTTTTTATCTAATGAGCTGTGTATTCATGGTGTGGCTCTGTAAGTATCACTGGTGGGAGCAGTACAGTGGTATAGTCTATAAACCGACTTTATCTCTTGAAACAGGTTTTTGTCTAGACGTTTTGTTAAGTGAAAAATGTTTTTTTGTTTAAGCTATATAATTCATCTGGGTATTGTTTACACGCTGTGGGGAACATCCTTACCAAACACACGTACTTTTAACTCCTGGTAAATTCGTATAACAAAACCACACTCGCTTTTGTTTTCCAAATAACGTCTTTTATGTATCAAGAAACTGTATCTTAAGTGTTGTTTATTAGCGCTTGAGGGCAGACATTCTTACCAGACGTAGGAACACTGGGGAGGGGAGGGGGGGATTCAATAATACCTTAAAAATGAATGTGTTAGACATGTTTTTAGCAATAGTCGCTAACAATATACACTTCCGTTATAATTCATTAGCAATAACCGCTAACAACTTGAACTTTATGATAACTTTAGCAGTGATCGCTTAGTATACTGTATGTCTTTGAGAGGTTTCAGTCCATATGCCAGATCTGCTCATTTAAGTTCACTATGGTCACAGTTCAGTGCCATCTCTTCCATTTAAACACACCAGGAGAAAGTCAAGTCCTATCACAACTTGTCTTAAAATCAAACAACCAAACAAGACCGAAACTTAACCCAAACCTTCTATGAAACAAATAAACCCAACTAACCAACAAACCAAATTTAACCTAACCTAACCTAACCTAAATATATCACAGTATATTCTAGTCAAGTGAGTTAAGGGTGATATTGAGTATATATCTATAATTGAGGGAGAGTGAGGTGGGAGGAGAGAGGAGTGAGGGAGGGGAGGTAGAGTGAGAGAGGAGGGAGGAGAGTGAGATGAGGAGGGGAGAGTGAGAGGAGGAGGTAGAGGAGAGGAGGAGGAGGGGAGGAGGGGAGGAGGAGGTAGAGTGAGAGAGTCAGGGAGGTGAGAGAGGAGGAGGGAGAGGAGAGGAGGAGGTAGAGGAGAGAGGGTGAGGTAGAGGAGAGGGTGAGGAGAGGAGAGGAGGGAGGTAGAGGAGGGAGGTGGAGAGGAGAGAGAGTGAGGGGAGGTGAGGGGAGTGAGGGAGGGTGAGGTAGAGTGAGAGAAGAGGAGGTAGAGTGGAGAGGAGGAGGGAGGGGGGAGGTAGAGTGAGAGAGGAGGAGATTGAGAGAGGAGGAGAGAGGGAGAGAGGGGTAGGTAGAGGAGAGAGGAGGAGGGGAGAGGAGGTGAGTGGAGGTAGGAGAGGGGGAGGTAGGAGTGAGAGAGGGGTGGAGGTAGAGTGGGAGAGAGGGTGAGGTAGGAGGAGAGAGGGGTGGAGGTGGAGGAGAGAGGGGTGAGGTAGAGGGAGAGAGGGGTGAGAGGGGAAGTGGAGAGAGGAGGAGGTAGAGGAGAGAGGAGGGAGGTAGAGGAGAGAGGAGGAGAGGGTGAGGAGAGGAGAGAGTGGGGAGGTGAGGAGAGAGGGTGGAGGTAGAGTGAGAGAGGGTGAGGTAGAGTGAGAGAGGAGTGAGGTAGAGTGAGAGAGGGTGATGTAGAGTGAGAGAGGGTGAGGTAGAGTGAGAGAGGGTGAGGTAGATGCTTAAGGTAGACTCAGGTATAATGACGTGTGGCTCACCTGTATCATCTTGTCTCCTGCAGGTGTGGCTGGACCTGGAGTCTGTACTACTGGGAGGCCACGAGGACCTACACCTCTACCACCCCCCGCCCCCCGACGCCCACGCCCACCAGCCCAACGCCTCCCCAGCCCACATGAATGCCCACTCCCCTGTGCAGCCGTCAGTCCACGCGTCAACCCATCACCCTGCCCACACACAGTCCCCAGGCCACTCCACTCAGACGCCTATCACCAATAACGTGCCCGCCCACTGCTACACTTCCCAGGGCACCTCTTCCACCACTGCTGCAGGTGAGACGTCCAGTGGTCGTCCCCTGCCGCCCCTCACCGTGCTGGGGGACGCTCTGTCGCAGCCCCCTGGCCTCCTGCCCTCCCTCCATCACCCACTCCACCATCCCCCATCATCCCTAGGACGCTCCACGGTGCCCCCTATGTCGGAGTTAGTGGAGGGGGCTATGGTGTCGCCTCTGGCCGCCCACACCACCCTGCCGCCCACGCCGCCCCACCAGGACCCACACTACGCCGCCCCACACCCCGGCTACGACCCCTCATCATGCAGGGTGAAGGCGGAGTATGGGGACTACCCTCCGGGGCTGGGTATCCGCACGGGGCTCAAGAGGACCTACCCTGAGGGAGTCAGCCTGCAGGCCAAGTACCCCTGTGTGGCCGCCACCTATCGCAGAGACGACCCTTATGCCAACTCAGGTCCTCCACCACCCCTGCAGTATATGGGCACAAACAGCCCCCTGCCACAACAACAACAGGTACAACAACAGCAGCAGCAACAACAACAACAACAACAACAGCAGCAGCAACAACAACAACAACAACAACAGCAGCAACAACAACAACAACAACATCAACAACAACAACAACAACAACAGCAACAACAACAACACCAGCAAGGAACACCTCAGTATGTGTTACCTCCCACACCACCTCAGTACCCAGCAGGGCCTCACGCCCTACACAACCACCCCGGCCACCACCCAGACTACACCGCCCCCTGGACGCCCTCACATGCCCCCTACGGCGGCTACGCCCAGTACCTTGACTTCAACACCTGTTCCACCTCAACCATGACCAACGGGGGCGCTCTCCCTCCTCCCGAAGTCCCACCACCTCCTACCAAACCCAGACGTCGCCGGGCACGGAGGAAGGTCATCATCCACAACTGTCCCTACGAAGGCTGCGTCAAGACCTACATCAAGTCGTCCCACCTGAAGGCGCACCTGAGGACCCATACGGGGGAGAAGCCCTACACCTGTAAGTGGAAAGGCTGTGGGTGGAAGTTCGCCAGGTCGGACGAACTGACTCGCCACTACCGTAAACACACTGGCGATCGTCCTCCAGTGTAGACTGTGGAGAGAGCCTTCCGCTCTGACCATCTGAGTCTGCATATGAAGCGGCACATAGCCTCGATCTGTCTCATGAAGCGGCACATAGCTCTCTGATCTGACCTGGGAAGGCACATAGCCTCGATCTGACTCATGAAGGCACATAGCTCTTGATCTGACTCATGAAGCGGCACATAGCTCTCTGATCTGACTCATGAAGCGGCACATAGCTCTCTGATCTGACTCATGAAGGCACATAGCTCTCTGATCTGACTCGTAGCGGCACATAGCTCTCTGATCTGACTCGTGAAGCGGCACATAGCTCTCTGATCTGACTCGTGAAGCGGCACATAGCTCTCTGATCTGACTCGTGAAGCGGCACATAGCTCTCTGATCTGACACATGAAGCAGCACATAGCTCTCTGATCTGACTCTAGCTGACTCATAGAGCGTCACACAGCTGTCTGACTCATGAAGCGTCACGTGGCTCTCTGATCTGACTATCGGCACTAAGGAATAGACAGGATGAAATAGCGAGAGAGAGAAACAAAGATAGAAAAGGCAGATACAGAGGCAGACATGAGAGGAGACAAAGAGACAGGCAAGAAGAAAATATTTACACGGATCATTTCAAAGAGATGACAACTAGTACTGGCGTTCACACGTGATTTAATGAAATAAAAACACGTGCGTTCGGTGATTCTGTGATTCAGTGTTACATGACTGGCTGAAACCACTCCAGTTAAGGATTATCTACTGTTCGAACCCCCCGGGGAAACAGTATTTTACCCGCGTTCTGAAGCTTTAAATACGATTAAATGAATTACGTGCTGTGTATATCAGTGCCTATATAGAAGAAGATATTCCCAAGTACAGTAGTGGCCAAACGTTGATTCTGAGACACTGAACCCCTGTATATATGAAGCATCAACGAGGCTGAATCAATGTAATAAACCTGATTCAATTGTGCGTTCGAGTCACATGGAGATGAAATTAATTCTTTGATTCTCCTTAATAAAAAATAAATAAATAAATAAATTGACGCCTCAGATCCACTACATAATTATTCACTATTACCCAGATAAAAATATTGACAGGTGACACTCATTCATTGTTGAGACAAGAGGCAGTGTACATAGATGTTTCTTAAGGGGGATACAGGAATTAATTAATATCCTCTGAACATTAGGTACCTCAAGTTATTTCATTTAATGATTAAACACCTTAACCTAACCTAACCTATTCTAAAACTAACCTACCTGACCATACTTAACTTCACCTAACCAAACTTAACCTAACCCCTGCAGGTATAGCTTAAGTGTGTTTAACCATCAAGAGAAATAATCTGGGGTGTTTGATCTGCAGGTGATCGTTTAATTAAGGTGGTGTATAGGTAAACTGTATTCGTTGCACAGACCAGCTGGGCAGTAAGCTGTACCTGAGGTGATAGTCTATTTTTCTGTACCATACGTGTAGCAGACGTGTTGTGACAGGCATAACACGTGTAATAATCGTAACACAGCCCTAATAGATCTGTACCAGCCCTGTGTAACACCTGTAATACATGTGTCACCGAGATGCTGAGGTATTAGCCATGTTAAAACACATCTGTATCAAGCGTGTAACGGGTGTGTGACACATCTGAAGAACGTGACAGGCTTGTATCATTCCTGTACCAGACCTGTATGAGGCTTGTATCATTCCTGTACCAGACCTGTATGAGGCTTATATCATTCCTGTACCAGACACGATCTCATTTGTGAATAGCGTCCAGTTGGTTACTCACAATATTGAGATTGTGTGGTGGTGGTGGTTGTAATAGTGGTGGTTATGGTAGATTGATGGTGGTTGTGATGGTGATAGAGAGAGAGATGGTGGTGGAGAGGAGTGGTGATGGTAGACAGTGTTGGTGAGGCATCAGTGTTTGTGTTCGTTTGTTATTCAAGGAAACTCTTATTGTATCTAATTTATTATAGTTTTATCTCTTCCTCCTCCTCCTCTTCCCCCTCCCCTTCCTCTTCTTCCTCCTCCTCCTCTTTCATATCACTTCTCTCCACCCCCTCTTCCCTTCTTCACCACCCCCACCACACCCCACCACCACCACACCCCACCACCACCACACCACCCCCAACCTCCACCACACCTCCACCCCACCACCCCCCCACCCTACCCCCCACCACACCACCCCCACCCACACCACCCCCAACCTCCACCACACCACCCCCCACCACCTCCACCTCACCCCACCCACCACCACCCCCACCCCCACCACCGAGTCTACCAGTACCCACCTTAGATTCATTATGTGGAAATAAAAAAAAATCATAATAAAAACTGTACATTATTATTTTAACTGCACTATTTTATTACTTAATTTTATTCCATCTTGAAAATAAAATCAAAGTTCATTTTATTTTATTTATGTTACAGGATTTAAAAATATTCCAATGATTTAATTTATATTTGATGTTAAAATTTCATGACAATATTATTTTTCTTTTAAACACCACATCTTTTTTTCAGGTGGGGGGGGAGAGGGGAGGGGGTAATATATTAATTATATATATATTACAATTATATGTTTTTGTAATTAATCGTATTTTTTATATCCCAATATAGGATAAATAAGGTGTTAATCTCTTCACAAGCACAAGGTAAACAAAGAGAGGTTAGGGTAGGCTTATGTTAGGGTTAGGTTAGAGTTATGTTAGGTTAGATTAGGTTAGGGTTATGTTAGGTTAGGTTGTATTTACCTAGAGCACGTGGGTAGTGGTGGTGAGTTGCCAGACGTGGATTTATTTGACGTTATCTAGTCAGGCTGTGAACCTATAGCTAGTTGACCTTCCCTGTATATATTTTGTATAAAGCGATGCTCTTTTGTTTTGGTAATAAAATCATAAGTGACTAGTGGTGTTTTATTTTGTTTAACCTCTTGTTTACGTGTGTTGTTGTAAACCCTCTCAATAACGGACTTTTTAATAGTGGATACTGTATACTTTCTCAATAACGGACCTCTAATTTAAGTCTGTTATTTAAACACTCTCAATAACGGATTTCTCAATAATGTATACCATAAATCCTCCCAATAGTGGACTTCTCAATAGTGGATACAGTAAACCCTCTCAATAACGGACGTATCACCAATGGGTACAGTAAACCTTCTCAAGATCGGACTTCTCAATAATGGATAGAGTAATCCTTCTCAATAGCGGATATTCTCAATAACAGAATCCTCCCAATAACGGACAGGGCTTGCAAGAATTAGTCTGGTATGGGAGGGTTACTGTATATACATAGACTGTCAGTTTAAGTAGACTGTCAGCGTACTGAACTGTCAGCGTGGTAAACTGTCAGCGTAGTAGACTGTCAGCGTACTGAACTGTCAGCGTGGTAAACTGTCAGCGTAGTAGACTGTCAGAGTAGTGAACTGTCAGCGTGGTAAACTGTCAGCGTAGTAGACTGTCAGAGTACTGAACTGTCAGCGTAGTAGACTGTCAGCGTAGTAGACTGTCAGTCAGGTAGATTAATGACACACTTCCTTCACTAATTAAGTAAAGCAGGTGTCACTATTCTTCGTCACTCAACTCCCTTTATTAATTTAATCATATTTACATAACAGCGTTCAAAGTTTAATTAATTATCTTATGTTTATTATAGTGGTGTGTGGTGTGGTGTTGGGGATGTGGTGTGGTGTTGGGGGTGTGGTGTTGGGGGTGTAGTGTGTGGTGTGGTGTAATATGGTGTGGGTATGACATAAATTAAATTAAAACACATAAATATACCCAGGACGTCATATTAACCCCAATATTAGTAGAGCAACGACATATTTCAAGATAGCGGGTCGTTTGTTGATCAGCTGACTTATGTAAACAAACAATGAGTCATGAGCGAAGACGATCAGCTGACGGAAGTAAACAAACTATAATGGCGAGTCTGGGAGGTCAAGCACTTCTTACCTGGCCCACGTCAACACAGGGGGCCATTCTATATCGTCTTCCTGGCCCACGTCAACACAGGGGCCATTCTATATCGTCTTCCTGGCCCACGTCAACACGGGGGCCATTCTATATCGTCTTCCTGGCCCACGTCAACACAGGGGCCATTCTATATCGTCTTCCTGGCCCACGTCAACACAGGGGCCATTCTATATCGTCTTCCTGGCCCACGTCAACACAGGGGCCATTCTATATCGTCTTTATGGCCCACGTCAACAGGTAGGCATTCTATATCGTCTTTGGCCCACGTCAACACAGGGCCATTCTATATCGTCTTTTATGGCCCACGTCAACACAGGTGCCATTCTATATCGTCTTCCTGGCCTACGTCAACACAGGGCCATCTATATCGTCTTCCTGGCCCACGTCAACACAGGGCCATTCTCTATATCGTCTTCCTGGCCTACGTCAACACAGGTGCCATTCTATATCGTCTTCCTGGCCCACGTCAACACAGGGGCCATTCTATATCGTCTTCTGGCCTACGTCAATACAGGTGCCATTCTATATCGTCTTCCTGGCCCACGTCAACACAGGTGCCATTCTATATCGTCTTCTGGCCCACGTCAACACAGGGCCATTCTATATCGTCTTCCTGGCCTACGTCAACACAGGTGCCATTCTATATCGTCTTCCTGGCCCACGTCAACACAGGTGCCATTCTATATCGTCTTCCTGGCCCACGTCAACACAGGGGCCATTCTATATCGTCTTCCCGGCCTACGTCAACACAGGGCCATTCTATATCGTCTTCCTGGCCCACGTCAACACAGGGCCATTCTATATGGTCTTCCTGGCCTACGTCAACACAGGGCGCCCACATCGTCTTCCTGGCCCACGTCAACAGGCCATTCATATCGTCTTCCTGGCCCACAATCATTAGTTGAAGTTGACTTCCCCACCCGACGGCATCAGATAAGACATTTATTTAGGAACGATAAGAGATTAAAATTGCATCGAGCGGTCAGCTGTGGGAGGAATGATTGATGGAGATAACTGGGCGGTCGTTCTAACTGGTGGCGTCCA